ATTAATTTTTATATTGTAAAATTCTTTTTATTCTAATTATTTTTTTTAATTTCTTTAATTTTTATTGAATTTTTTTTTAATTTCTTAATTTTTTTTAGCTTCTACTAAACGCCCGAATTTTTGTGTCCTGCACTGAGACGTACATTTCGATGTGCTAGTTCAACTCCGACTGAGCAACCGTTTGTCAGCTGTGCAATTTCGAATACTTGACTCGCAAAGCCGGAAAGGAAGCGAAGTACTCATTACCCTTGCGCAGTCATGCAAAGTACAAATTGGCCGAGAAGACGATGGCAATTTTCCTGCTCACAATTTTCGATATTAGGCTCTAACTTTTCACCTACCATTCAAACATGTTTATATATACATATACATATATATTTATGTATATTCATACATATGTCTTTATGTTGGTAGCACGAGTTGCTCCGCATGCGTTCTGGTTGGTCGCTCTTTGGTCAGAATCAATTGGTGAGCAATTTTCGAATATATGAATGCACTATGAATACCTACATATGTACATAAACATAAAAACAATTTCATATATGTATATGTGTGCAGATAAGAATATGTTTACAACTACTTAGTTTACTTGTCCACTTGCCTAGAATTCTTTATAGGCAGGGTGTTAACCCTGTCAGCCAATTCACATATTTTCATATTTTACTTTCATATGTACATATATAAGTAGACATATATATGACTATGTTTGTATGTATATAAATAAATGTGTACTTGACGGTGCTCAATGAAGCGTTTAATAGACGTGGAAAACGTTAGTGCGCGTGTGCGCCGGTTAGTGCGAAGGCGTTGAAAACTCGATGAGCCAAATATTGAGTGCGTGTCCTTTGCATTCTCTCCAGAACTAAGCAAAAAAATTTAGAGGGTTGGTGCACGAGGTGACCATAAGGTGCACGCACATGACAGCGCCAATTGGTGAACAGGTGTCTCAGCAAAGTGGAATTTGACCATAAATAAATATAACAAACAGTGGCGGCTGGAATATATACATATTTGTTTGTATTTTTAAGTACGTATAGTATATACTCCATTGCTTTGAATATAAAATATAGTACAGTGATCCATACTACAAGTGGGTTTAGATCATTGAAAACGATCCGCCAAAGCATCATCACATTGTGTTATGAGTATATGTGTCGGTCCAGTGATTCTTCTAGTTATAGCCTGACTAACTCTATTCCATCGGCTTCATACATTTTCAAGTTGGCTCTTCGTTGATTTCAAAGCTGCTTTTGACAGCACGAAAAGGAGCTGTCTTTACGCCGCTACGTCTGAATTTGGGACTCCGCAAAACTGTACGGCTGTGTAAACTAATTCAAAAGCTTCGTCAGGATCGAGACGGATTGATTCCCTATCATGCGACTTCTTCAATCTACTCGAAGAGAAAATAATTTGGATAACAAGAACATCCCTTTTAGTGTATTTGGGTTTCTCCAACTCTACTTTATGAACTATCACAAAGACATGCGACATGAAGAAATGTCAATTTTTGTAAATAAAAAATTATACTTATATATATATTGTTCTATTATAAGGACTTGATTTGATCGAGGCATGAACGACGGTTCCTTAGAGGGGGGGTTTTTAGTGACCCGCAAGTGGCACATACCGCTGCTGTGACGATAGCACCGATGATGCGGAAAGCATTTTCCACCCCC